ATTCCAGCTGGTGTCATCTGTTCTCAGATTGAGGCTGTATCATGCTCAACAGCTTGACTGCCAAACATTGGGTGCTGTCTTCTTTCCTATGTCTCGTTGGGCAGCCTGCAAATTGGCAGTGTTATGATGGGTGCTGTAACATATTGGAAAGACTAAAACTTTGCTCTATGAGGCAACTCATGACCTGTTTTCACAAGATATTATATTGACTGCACATTTAGACATAGCTCTGTCTCATGCACAAGATACTCTTTCTCCACTTGCAACCAAGTTTCCATGTCCAGGACCAGTCTGAGATGCAAACAACTGCTGGAATCCCTGTGCTTATGAACATCCCATGCACCTCTCACAAACCATCTTGGTATCTCCCTCCAACAGTGGGACTAGATGATGAGGCCACGTTCTATGTAATTTCTTCAGGGTCATGGAGCCCTGTGGGCCAAAGATCCCTGACCTATTCTGCAAAAGATGGGTAAAATTACGTGTTTCCCTATTTGTCAGCCTTGCACAGCTTAGAAGGTGGGCAGAATTTTCCTATATAGGAAACAGGCTCAGAGCTAGTGCTCTTCTGCCTCTTCAATGAAATCACAAGCGCCTCTCAGCAAAGGATCGTCCCACTAAAAGACAAAGCAGCAGGTCAGACTTGCTAATATTTTACCAATGGAATCTAAACAATTCCACTTTAAGAACTATGCTGTCTGATTTTAGAAAGATTCAGTTTACTTGTGATCCATAAATGTCGTCATTCTTCCTTAAACATGTGATTTATGTGAGTGAGTCACTATCTTTTAATGTCTTTCTTTTTTTCCCAGGATGGCATGGAACTCTCCTTTAGGGATGAGACTGTCTTCCCTCGTCTTGTTCATGATCTGGTATATTTCAGATGGAAAGAAGACAATTTTGTGATGGGAATAACCCTAAATGGTTTAATATAAGCAGCAGCAAGGATAATGAAGGCTCATGGCATATCGTCTCTGGAATGTTAATATCAAATGCCTTTTGGGCTGTTCTCTCTTTCCATTTTTCTTTAGAGAAACTTGTTAACAAGAAAAAAAAATCAGTGCAGAAGTCAAAGTTTGGCTTTCATAGGGTTTAAGGCTAGAGAGAACCATTATGATCATATAGTCTCATCTCCTGCATAATACAAGCCATCAGACTTTCTTGAATTAATTCCTGCTTCACATCCCAGAGCAGTGGTTGAAATAGAGCATATATTTTAGAAAAAAAAAACCCCGATGCATTCGTCATTCAATTTGCAGTGATGGAGAATTCACAACCTTTTTAAGTTGTTCCAATGGTTAATTACCCTCACTGTTAAAAATTCACATTTTAAACGTTTGCTCCCTATATGGACAAATATTGGTCTTAAAGAAAATTGAAAGAAGGTTTGAAATATAAAACTTCCAACTGCTCAAGAGAAATATATCCTTTCTGCCAAGTTGTCTAACAAATGCCTCTGTGGACAAAACAGCTTCATTAGTGGGGTGAAAGGTTTTTACCACTAACAGGCCCAGGAGTGGCTGCCACCCTTTGAACCTCATCTTGTTCCACTTGTATTTCCCACACTGAGCAACCACAAGATTGGTTTTAGCAGAGGATGGAGAGTATTAAAAAGCATTGTGGGTGGAATAGCAATGGGAACAGACTGATTTGATCACTGAGAAACCCATCCAAACATAATAGCTGGCACGGCTCAGAGCAGAATGAAGCCTGCTTGACAGTTCTCATATGGCAGTGGTAAAGTGCATAATTAATAACTGATCTCCGGCCTGCCAAGGCTGTTTTACTGACTTCTGAGCTCTGTGATGTCTATCTCTGAAGTGAATCCTAGAAACAGGGGAGAGTCTTTTCGCTAGACCAGAAATTACTGGAACATGGAGCTCACTGACCACTCCTCTCCTCTCTCCACCCCTGACAACCCCCAGTGTTGGGAACTGTGCAGTAGAGGGTTGTAGGGCTGCATGTATTGGCTTCAGGTTGTTCCTGCATTGGAGAAATTCTCTGGGGGTCATAGGCATCCTTTTATAGCTCCTGTATGTCACCAGGCCAGCATAAATGAGTCATAACAGGGAGACTCTGAACCTGCACCAACTGAATTATCGTTGGTGACTTTTTTCATTGCAGCACCTGTAGATAACAGGAATGGCAGCAAGGTTTGATGCACACATTCCTCGTTACCCTTATTTAAAAATGTACGGACATACTTCACAGTCATGTTCTTAAAGACACAATGTATGAGTCCCTGCAGCACATAGGGCTATTGCTATTGTAATATTCCCTGTTGTAAGGGATTCATACTGGATAATTTAGTCAGTGAATTTTGCCTTTTCGTGTGTCCCTGGACAGACTGGGATGCTTTCAGGGAGATCTGCTTTTAGGAATGATTCCTGGATGATTTCTAGAAATGACTACTGGGCCTTGCTCTCCTTCCTGAACAATATATTGCACGAATTCAACACTCAGCAGTTGAATTGTTTTGAATGAGCAGGTCACATAGTGCGTCTGTGTTCCCTGACTGGAGAGCTTTATTCTCAGAATCCATTTGCTGGTTGAGAATATGACATTTGAAGCTTCTGCACTATTTGTTTAAAATTTGCCATTTCAGTGTAAATTCCTGACCAGAGAGAGAATGCGGAAGGGAGAGGACACAGTTAAGAGTAATCTGTTTAAAGAGTCAGTCCAATATGCCAGGGTGTAGAACATTCTGATTTCCCTGCAAAGGAATTCTGCACTAAGAGATTAAAGAGATATGGGCTTGGATTTGTGTGATTTGGAGAAATAATAAAGAATCTTAGAAAACTAGAGCTGGAAGAGCTCTTGAGAAGTCATCAAGTTCAGTCACATGCGCTGAGGCAGGACCAAAGTAATCTGAACTATCCCTTACACGTGTTTGTCCAAACTGTTCTTAAATAACTCCAGTGACAGGGATTTCACAACCATCCTTGGAAGCCTATTCCATAGCTTAGCTACCCTTGTAGTTAGAAAGTTTTCTCCTAATGTCTAATTTAAATCTTTTGCTGGAGATTAAACCAGTTGATCCTTTTTGGTCCCCTCAGAGGACACAGAATCATAGGACTAGAAGGAACCTTGAGAAGTCATCTAGTACAGTCCCCTATGCCCGAGGCAGGACTAAGCATTATCTAGATCATTCCTGGCAGATGTTTGTCTAACCTGCTCTGAAAATGGAGATTCCACAACCTCCCTAGGCAATTTATTCCAGCGCATAACCATCCAGGCAGGAAGTTTTTCCTAATGTCCAACCTAAACCGATCTTGTTCCAATTAAACCTGTTGCTTCTTCTCCTGTCCTCAGATGTTAAGGAGAATAATTTTCCCTCTTCCTCTTAGTAACAACCTTTCATGTACTTGAAAACTGTTATCATGTCCCCTCTTGGTCTTCTCTTCTCTAGATTAAACACACCCAGGTAGAGCTCTGTGTCTGTCACAGAGGTTATGGAAGTCATATATTGGCCAAGCAGTGGTCAATGTGGATGGATCTGGGGACCACCTGAGCAAGATTCCAGGGGCAGCAGGATCAGCTGCAGCTCAGTGACTCTTGGCAGTGGTCCTGTAGTGACTGGAACAGAGGCTGGCCTTCCACGCTCCCTCCCCAGCAGTAGCTGGAGCAGCCACTGGTTCCCTATGGCTTTCTCCCTCATGGTGGCTGGAGCAGCAGTGGGTACCCTAGGTCTTCCCTCCCCATGGTGGTTAGAATGATAGGAGGACCCCTGAGGCTTCCCCCCGGCAGGTAGGAGCTATGGGTCGCAAGAGTCCTACAGCTGGTGCCAGGGCTCCCTAGGACTCCCCTCACAGCTGGTTTTGCAAACCCCCTGGGCTCTCACCCCTAAGATTCATTCATGGGTATTTATGGTATAAGTCACAGACAAGTTACAGTACTTAAGTACTTGTGATTTGTTTGGTTCTTGCCCATGACATGTCCATGGCTTTTACTAAAAATACCAGTGATTGAATCCCAGCCATACTCATGTTTTCTTGACTTTTAATCATTTTTGTTGCTCTTCTCGGACTTTCTCTAATTTATCCTCATCTTTCCTGAAATGTGGTGTCCAGAACTGGATGCAATTTTCCATTTGAGGCTTAATCAGTGTGTGGCAGAGTGGAAGAATCACTTCTCAAGCCTTTCTTACCACACTCTGACTAATACCAGCACAGCCCAGAATTAAGTTTGCTTTTTTATAGAACTATTACACTGATGACTCATGTCTAATTTGTAATCCACAATGAGCCCCCAGATCTGTTTCTGAAGTACACCTTCCTAGACAGCCATTTCCCATTTTGTACGGGTACAACTGATTGTTCCTTCCTAAGGGCACACCTAAACTACATTCCCCTTTCAAAGGAGGAATGTAAATTAGACAAATTGGAAGTGCAAATGAACCATGGATTTAAATATCCCATGCTTCATTTGCATATTCACATCCGAGCGCTTTTTCGAAAAAGGCTTTTTCGAAAGTGAAAGCGCAGTCTAGACACAGTTCTTTCAAACTCCCCCCCTTTTTCGAAAGAACCCGTGCTCCTGAAAAAATGAGGAGTACAGGTTCTTTCAAAAATGGTTTTTTTTAAAAAGAACTGTGTCTAGACTGTGCTTTCACTTTTGAAAAAGCCTTTTTTGAAAAAGCGCTCAGATGCAAATATGCAAATGAAGTGGGGGATATTTAAATCCAGCTTCATTTGCACTTTCGATTTGCCTAATTTACATTCCTTTTTCGAAAGGAATGTAGTCTAGACATAGCCTAAGTGGAGTACTTCACATTTGTCCTTATTGAATTCCATCCTATTTACTTCCGACTATTTCTCCTATTCATACAGATCATTTTGAATTTTGATCCGATTCTCCAAAGCACTTGCATCCCCTCTCAACTTGGAATCGTCCACAGACTTTAGAAGTGTATAGTACATGTGCTATGGAGAACAATTGATCACAGTGCAACCAAGCTTTTATAAAGCAAGCACCCATCATCTGTACAGCCTGTTATTTACCTGAGACATAGAACTTGATGCTTCTCTCCTCTTTGCCAATCTTGTTTGAAGCCACACAGTAATAAATCCCTGATGTATTGCTATGTTCTATAGTCAGCTTGCTTATCATCTGCCAAGCAAAGGGAAGAAAAAAAAGCAGTTTGTTTTTAGTGGATCCATTGTGGTACAGAGGGAAAGGACTATAAATATTGTAGATGACAGAACTGTATTTTATGATAGAAAAAACAGTTAACAAAAGGAATCCCTGTTGATGAATGAAGCCTAACACCAGGCAAATGTTTCTCTCCCATCTCCCTTATCTCACTTCCCTTGTCAGTCAGTTCACTTCCCTTTCCCACCCCCTGAAATTTCTCCCCTTCCCTCTCTCTCACTACAAACAAGGCTTCTCTTTGCAGAATTCCTGTGGGGCATAGTGTGGGATATAGATCCTAAGGGTATGTCTAGACTATATGGCTCCATCGACGGAGCCATGTAAACTAGTTTACCTGGCATAGTCAAAGAAGCGGGGATTTAAATAATCCTCGCTTCATTAAAATAAACATGGCCGCCGTGCTGTGCTGACGATCAGATGATCCGGCACAGCGTGGCAGTCCAGATGCGGCGTGGTCAACAAAAGAAGCCTTTGTCGACCACTCCGGTATGCCTCGCTTCTTTGACTATGCCGAATAAACTAATTTAGATGGCTCTGTCGACGGAGCCATGTAGTCTAGACACACCCGAAGTGAAAAAATCATGCAAAAACCTGAAAGTACATAGGGCTTCTTTTAATCAGTGCCAGTAACTTTTCCTACAACTTCACATTCATGATTAATTATTTCAGCTCTAAATTCTTGTCAACAGCAAAGAGGAGAGAACACCAAACTTTGTGTGGACACTTGGTAACTCTGAAACCAAAAAAGAGTCATGCCCCTCGAAATGAAGGACATTTGAGAAGTATGCTTCGCAGTGATATTCCATTAGGGTAAGAAAGCACATGGCTCAGTCTCTGATGGTGTTTAGCTTGTTCTTGTGGCATTTCCTTGGGTCAGAGGCTGACTCAACATAACAAGTCTCTCCTCTGACCCTGAGGAAAATATTAGACCTTGTGAAATTTAGATGGGAATAACAGAAAACCTAGAAGACATTTCCAACCTTGCTATGACAGCAAGCTGGATTTCAAATAGAGGGGCCTCATGAAAAAGTCTTTGTTTCTTATGGAGACGTCCTGTGCTGTAGTTAAGCAAACAAAGGGGAAAAATCCAGTTTAGAGGTGGGTTTGTAGAGGAAATACATTCAATTCCCTTGGCCTCCAACACAGCAAGGGTATGAGTGCCCAAATGCTGTCACTGCACTTCATTTCTTCTGATGTGTAAACAGACATTTCATGGGAATGAAATCACACCAATCAGGGAAAGTTCTTTGTACATTCTTTTCATAAGGCCCTTCCTCCTCCCCATTAACAATAATGGCTCTAATTCTGAACCAGGACCAATATCATCTGCATTATTATCAGAGCTTATATTTATACAGTCTCAGAAGGGTAGCTGTGTTAATCTGAATTGTTAAAAATGAGTAATCCTGTGGCACCTCAGGGCATGTCTACTCTAGGAAATTATTTTGAAATAACTAAATTCAAAATAATAACTCCTGAAATAACTATCTCAAAATAAGATTATTCCCCAAGGAAAGCAGGAGTATCGATTTTGAAATAAGCAGCCTGTTATTTCCAAATTAACGGCCTTGGTAGTGTGGACACTGCTTATTATTTCAAAATAAGTGGGGGTTATTTTGAAATAACTCCCTAATATAGACCAGGGCTTAGAGACTAACACACACACACTGGCTATGCCCTCTTCTTGCTACGCTTACCTACCCCCCTCTCTCTGGCCACATTTGCTTTGCTGAGAGAATCTGTTGATATTGAAGATGTGATTACGGCATTCTGTCGCCCAACAGGAAAACTCTGTTGTCTGACAGGAAAAACTTTATATATATATATATATGTATAAAAAGAGAGAGAGAAAGAGAATCATGAGCTTTTGTGGGCAAAACCTACTTCTTCAAATGAGATTTAAAAAAAAATCTCCCAAACTATATGTGAAGGAATTAGGGATGTGATCATGCAGATGACTACAGGATTAACTGATAAGCCTAGGGTTATTGTTTAATCTTGTCAACTACATGCATTTCCCCCCTCCCCGCTGCCACGCCTTGCTGCCTCTGATAGAGGGGCAGCAAGGGGGAGGGGAGCAGGAGCTGAAACCTGTGAGGAGCTGGCTTTAGACACCTCCACATGAGCACCAGATGCTCCTGCCTCCCCACCCCCTCACTACTGCCTCCTACAGAGGCAGCAAGGGGAGGGACAAGCAGAAGCTGATGCTGAAGGGGAGCTTGCAGAAAATCTGGTTTCCCCCCCAGCACCAGCTCCTCAGTGCTGCCTGTTCCCTCCCCCATGCACTGCTGCCCCATACAGTTGGGATGGGGGTGGGCAGGGGAGACTGCTGCAGAACAATCTCTGTCCACGGTGGGTCTGAGCTCCCTACAGACACAGGCTACTCTGCACACCAGGGAGCAGCCTCTGTCCAATGCAAGCCTGCCCCCCCCCCCAGACAGAGGCTGCTTTGTAGCAGCAGCCCCCGTCTGCAGGGGGTCGAAGCTTCCTGCAGGCAGGGGCTGCTCTGTGGGATGTGGATGCCATCATGGGTAAAGCGATTTAATCACAGGTGAATATAGTTGGAGCTTGGACACCCCACAGACAGTGACTGCCGTACCCTGTGCTACTGCCTCTGATACAGAGGCAGCAGTGCAAGGCAGCAGGCAGCTGGTCTGTGCAGGGAACTGGTTTTTAAACTGGCTCCCCTCATGGACAACTCCTGCCTGGCCCCCCCCGCTGCTGCCTCTAATTCAGGGCAGCAGCCTCGGGTGGCAGGGGACTCCCTGGGAGTGGGGCCAGAATGCACTAGCTGCCAGCGACGCCCCTGGGGACTATTGAATGGTCATGTAACCACTAAGATTTCATATACAGGCAGTCCCCGAGTTACGCGGATCGACTTATGTCGGATCCGCAGTTATGAACAGGGCTTTTCTCGCCCTGGAGGACGGGAGCGGCGGGACGCCCAGATGTGCCGCGGTCCCGCTGCCCGCGTCCTCCGGGGCAAGAAAAGCTGCTCCACGTCTCCCTGGTCTGCAGACCAGGAAGACGCGGAGCAAAGCCGCAGAGGGGCTCCGGCAGCGGGGCAGCCCAGACGCGCCGCGGCTGTCCCGCTGCCGGCATCCTCAAAGGCTTTGCTCCCGGGGTCCCCGGGCTGCTGGAGGCAGCTGGCCAGCCGCCAG